GTGGAGGGATCAGTTCTGATTCCCAAAGAGGAATCTCAGTGGAGGGAGTCTCCTTTCCATGGAAGGAGTCAGTTCTGATTCCCAAGGAGTCTCCTCTGGGTGGAAGGAGTCAGCTCCAATTCCCAAGGAGGAATCTCAGTGGATGGAGTCTCCTCTGGGTGGAAGGAGTCAGTTCTCATTCCCAAGAAGGAATCTCAGAGGAGGGAGTCTCCTTTCCATGGAGGGATCAGTTCTGATTCCCAAGGAGTCTCCTCTCAATGGATGTAGTCAACTCCAATTCCCAAGGAGGAGTCTCACTGGATGGAGTCTCCTCTCCATGGTGGGATGAGTTTGGGCAGGATTTCACAGCAGGTAAACCCTGCAGTGACAGGAGTGTCCCAAATCCTACAGTGTCCAGAGTGTCCCAAGCCCTGCTGTGACAGGAGTGTCCCAAATCCTGCCATGTCAGGAGTGTCCCATACCCTGCAGGGACAGGAGTGTCCCAAATCCTGCAGCGTCCAGAGTGTCCCAAATCCTGCAGTGACAGCAGTGTCCCAAACCCTGCAGTGACAGGAATGTCCCAAATCCTGCAGTGACAGCAGTGTCCCAAACCCTGCAGTGACAGGAATGTCCCAAGCCCTGCAGTGCCAGGAGTGTCCCAATTCCTGCAGTGTCCAGAGTGTCCCAAGCCCTGCAGTGTCCAGAGTGTCCCAATTCCTGCAGTGTCCAGAGTGTCCCAAATCCTGCAGTGTCCAGAGTGTCCCAAGCTCTGCAGTGACAGGAGTGTCCCAAATCCTGCCGAGCCTCAGCCGGTTCCTCCCCTCCGGTGCCCCAAATCCCAAACCTTCTCCTCGTGCCCTGTCTCTCCTGTGCCCTGGGGGCAGTGTGGGGTGTCCTGTGCCTCCTGTGCCAGGGGTCAGAGCCATTCCCACCCCGGTGTTCCCACAGATCGAGCAGGTGAGCCAGCTCTCGGCGCTGGTGGACGCCCAGCTGGACTATCACCGCCAGGCCGTGCAGATCCTGGACGAGCTGGCCGAGAAACTCAAGCGCAGGTGAGTCCCAGGGGCACCCCCAACCTCCCCTCTGCCTGTCTGGGAACACGGGAGACTCCCTGGGAATCACAGGATCCCGGAACCGGGGCGGTTGGAAGGGGCTGTGAAGGTCGTGGAGTTCCACTCCCTGCCATGGGACACCTCCCACTATCCCAGGTGGCTCCAAACTGGCCTTGGACACTCCCAGGGATGGGGCAGCCACAGCTTCTCTGGGAATTCCATCCCAGCCCCTCCCCACCCTCCCAACCAGGAATTCCTTCCCAATATCCCATCTAAATTTCCCCTCTTTCACTTTGAAGCCATTCCCTGTGTTCTGTCCCTCCATCCCTTATCCTACATCCTTTTCCAGCTCTCCTGGAGCACCTTTAGGCCCTGGAAGGGGACCTTGGACACTTCCAGGGATAGGGCAGCCACAGCTTCTCTGGGAATTCCATCCCAGCCCCTCCCCACCCTCCCAGGGAATCTGTTCCTGGCCACGTCTGGAGTTTGAATCCAGACCTTCTCCAAGTGCTGCTCCCGGTGAGGCTGGATTTGAACTTAGCAGGGATAGAAAAGGGTTGGAATTCCCTCCATGCTACCCCATCTCTGAGGTTCTGAGCCCTGTGAGCTGGTGCTGGGAGGCAGGTGGGTGTCTGGCACGTGGGAACACCCCTGGAGCTGCCTGGTCTTGCCCTGCCCTCCCGGGATTCCTGCCCTCCCGAGATTCCTGCCCTCCCGGGATTCCTGCCCTCCGTCAGCTGCCAAAATCCACAGGGGAGCTGTTGGAACAGGGAATGAGCTGGTTTGCACAACTCATCACCTGAGCCACCACGTACCCAAACTGGGGCTGGGGAAGGACGGGTGGATTCCCTGCAGGGCCGGATCTGCTCCCTCCTCCTGGGAGAAGACACCCAGTGGATCCCGTGGGTGGATCCCGTGGGTGGATCCCACGTGTCCGCTTGGAATGAGGAGGAGCTGGGAGGAGGATCCTGCCAAGCCTCAGCTTCCAAACTACAGCACGAGTGTCCTCTGCTGGCCTGAATTCCCAAGCATTCCACAGCAAAGCCTGGAATTCCCTTCCCTCCAATTCCCTTCCCTCCGAGGGTGGGAAGACCCACCTTCCAAAGGCTCCGGCACAGGGAGTCGAGCAGATCCTTCTCCACAAAAACCGGAGCCAGGAGGAGGAAAAACACGTCGATCCCATCGCATCCCATCCCTTATTTCAGTTTGTCCACCCTTCTTTTCCCTTCTCCCAGGATGAGGGAGGCCTCCTCCCGCCCCAAGCGGGAATACAAGCCCAAGCCCAGGGAGAGCTACGACTTCGGAGAGAGCGACCAGTCCAACGGGGGCTTCTCCTGCAACCCCACCCCCAAAGTCTCAGGTGAGGTTGTGCCAGGGCTGGGCCCTCCCACCCCCCTGTGCCCCTGGAGCTGCTCCGTTTGCCCGGGAAGGATGGCTCTGGAAAACGTCAGGAATGCCTCTGGATCAGGCTGTCGGCTCTCGGGGCGGGACAGCCTTTGTTGTGTTGGCTCTGGGGATGTTCCAGAGGTTTCTCCAGCCTGGGAAGTGCCCACTCAGTGCCAAGCAGGAAAAACCAAGGATCTCTCCCCCCCTCCCCTCTTCCATCCCGCTGCATCCCTCCCTCCTTCCCTCCGTCCCCCCCCCCCCCCCCCCCCCCCCCGGGTCTCTAACCCCACCTCCCCCCCCCCCCATTTCTCCTAACAACCCCTCTCCCTGCCTTTTCCCTGTCCCCATTCCCGTGGTTTTTAAGCATGTCTCTTTTTTGTTTGGAAGCAGCTTCCTCCTCTTTCCGGTCGGACAAACCTTCCCGGGCCTCCGTCAGGAGTATCCGTGAGTTTCCTGCTCTGCGCTGCATGATGTGGGAATTCTCCCATCCCTCCTCCTCCTCTTCCTCCTCTTCCTCTTCCTCCTCTTCCCAGCTTGGAGCTGCTCATCCCTCCGTGCTGAGCCTGAGCTAAGCCTGACTTAAACCCTAGACTAACCCAGCCACGCTCCAGCGGGATTTTCCCACCCCAAAACCGGCTCACCCGGAGGGGCTGGAGCAGCTCCCGTCACATGGGCACATCCCGATGCTTTTCCAGGAGGGATCAGTCCTCTCAAAGGTTTTTCCAAGCACCCAGCCTGGGTTTTTCCCGGGAAGGCTGGAGGGAGCAGGCAGAGCCTCAGCACAGTGGAGTTTGTGGGTCCTGCTTTGGGATCTCTTTGGGATTCCTTTGGGATCCCAGCTTGGAGCTGTGGTGGTGGGAAAGGCTCGTGGTGCTGGAGCAGGAGGAGCCTGGAGCAGGGATGTGGGGATTTGGGGATTTGGGAAGTTGTCTTGGCTGCTGCTTTCGGTGCCCGGAGGGGCTCTTGCCAAGCTGGGTCGTTCCTGGCTGTGGAATCATGGAATCATGGAATGATTTGGGTTGAAGGGAGCTTCAAGACCACCCAGTTCCACCCACCTTCCACCAGACGAGGTTGCTCCAAGTCTCATCCAACCTGTCCCTCGTGGTTTTCCATCCAAGCAAGGAAATCCAGGATATCCAAAGGATGCCTTAGTAACAAAGCCACCCTCGTTACGACAACCTCCACTGGGACAGGCTGGGAAATCTAAGACATTTAAAAGTGTTTGGTGCCAAAGAGGAGGGTTTGGGGGTCCCACTCACCCCTGTGCCCACCCCTGTGCCCACAGGCCCTAAAACAAGGCTGGAATTGGAGTTTTCCATCCAAGGAAGAGCTAAAACCCAGGATATCCAAAGGATGCCTTAATAGCAAAACCGCCCTCATTACGACAACCTCCAGTGGGACAGGCTGGGAAATCCAGCACATATAAAAGTTTTGGGCACCAAAGAGGAGGGTTTGAGGGTCCCACTGACCCTTGTGCCCCGCCCTGTACCCACAGCCCCTAAAACAGGGCTGGAATTGGAGTTTTCCACCAAAGCAAGAGCTCAAAGCCGAGATATCCCAGCGCTTCCAAAGGATGCCTTAATAACAAAGCTGCCCTTTGGGACAGGCTGGGAAATCCAACACATTTAGGAGTGCTGGACACCAGAGAGGAGGGTTTGGGTGTCCTGCTGACCCCTGTGCCCACCCCTGTGCCCACAGCCCCTAAAACAAGGCTGGAATTGGAGTTTTCCATCCAAGGAAGAGCTAAAACCCAGGATATCCAAAGGATGCCTTAATAACAAAGCCGCCCTTGTTACAACAAACTCCACTGGGACACGCTGGGAAATCCAACAGATTTAGGAGTGCTGGGTGCCAAAGAGGAGGGTTTGGGGGTCCCGCTCACCCCTGTGCCCACCCCTGTGCCCACAGCCCCCCTGGACCAGCCCTGCTGCAAAGCCCTGTACGACTTCGAGCCGGAGAACGACGGCGAGCTGGGCTTCAAGGAGGGCGACATCATCACCCTGACGAACCAGATCGACGAGAACTGGTACGAGGGGATGATCCACGGCCACTCCGGCTTCTTCCCGCTCAACTACGTGGAAGTGCTGGTGCCGCTACCTCAGTGAGCCCCCCCCGCCATTCCCGCCATTCCCGCCATTCCAGCCACCACCAGGGAACAACCAGAAGGGTCCCCTCGGCCCCTTCCCTTCCCCCCTCGGGAATTTGGGGTTTGTTTTTTTTTGTTGTTGTTGTTTTCTGTGTTTTTCGGGGGTTTTTTGGGGTTGTTTGTTTTTTTTTTTTGTCCTTCTGGTGCTTGAACTTCGGTACTTTGCTCATCCTCCCCCACACACACCGGCACAGGCCTCTCTCCCTTCTCCAGGTTTTTTTTGGTTTTCTCCTCTTTCCTTCGGGTCCAGCGCCTGGATGAGCCAGGTGGGAGAGCAGGGAGGTGTCCTGGGAATGCAGAGATGTATCCTGGGAATGCAGGGATGTGTCCTGGGAATGCACAGCCCAGTGGGAGACCAGGG